CACCAGAGCAGAGTCCCTCTGGACAAAGGTGCAGAAGACTCTTGTGGGATGCCTGGGTGGAGCTGGAGCCTGACTCAAAAGCTCCACCCTGGTGAGGTTGGTCCCACTAACCAGCTGAGTGCCTGCACCTTCCTCACCCCATGTCCCTGCCCTGTGAGGGTTCAGTACTATAAATCTGGTGCTATGGTGCCCACCTCTTCAATGGGTCTACACGCTTCCCCTGGGTACTGTGCTGCTTCCCCCAACCACCTCCTCCTCCTCTGCTCTCCCAACCCTGCAGTGACCCCTCCACCATCCTCCCCAGATCTTCTCCCATTTTTCCTCCACTGTCCTCCACTACCTTCCTCTTCTTGACTATCTCCCGAGATCTCTCCCTCATTTTCTTCTCCAGCCATGGGGTACCCTCCTTCCCTTCTTCTAAGTGGCCCTTGAGAATAATAACCTAAGACCAAGTATTTCCTTCTCCCTCTTTTCCTAGAAATCCTCTCTGATTCGAAATTCTCTCTTTTCCTTTCAAACCCAACCCCTGGTCTCTACGCTGCCCCAAAGCCTTCAAGATCCTTGCTCTCATTGGCTGACTTTCCCTACCACCCCCTTAGAGCCCAAGCCAAGGACTTCGTTTGGGTTAAAGACACATCTCACTCACTTCATTCTTCCTTCAGGCCCCAGCAAGGAAAGTCACCCCTCTCCACCCCCACCCCCAGGAATGACCACATCATCTGTTTCATCTGTCCCCACCCTATCCTACCACAAAGCTTTGCACAATAAACCACCAAGCTTCAATGGCTCCATTACTCAGCACTTAATATGCAGCTGGTAGTCTTTTCATTCATTCAACAAATATTTATTGAGCACCTACTATGTGCCAAACCCTCGGAATATGCCCAGGAAGAAAATATTTGTACACATTGATGTGTTGCAGGGTTTGCATTTTCGTTCTTGATCTAGATCTGTGTCCAGCTTTTCTCTTAATACTGAAAGCTTGCCAAGAACAAGGGTGAGCTCTCCTATACCCTGAACCCTAAAAGCAATCTGCAGGGCCCTCCAGAGGGCATGGGACAAGATGAGTGTTTGTGTTTGTGTGTTATGTACAAACACCAGCTACTGTGTGACTACTGATGGCCAATGGTGTCCAGACGGGAGTGCAATGGGACAAATGCATCCTTCCTTTGTGATCAGACACACGGGCTCTGGATACCAGCTCTGCTACTAACACGCAACCTAAGCCTTAACCTCCCTACACCTCAATGTCCTCATCTACAAAACAGGAATAATAACACCAACCTCAGAGGTGTAAAAATTAGATGAGTTAATGCATGTCGGGCTCCTAAAATAGTATCTAGCATGGTGCAATATGAACATCAAAAGATGTCATTATTAAGTTTGGAAGAATATTCAGAAAATAGTTTTCTATATGAAACATCTACTACTTACATAACTTTTTTTAAAAAATGGTCACATACCCCAGAAAAAACTCTTACATAAACATACCAGACGACATGGGAGAGGATGTTCGTAGCAGCTCTGTTCAATCTACAGAACCCCAGAGGCTATTGAGATAGAAAGGGGAATAAACTGCACTATAGTCAGGCAATGAGTGAGATCCACAGCGAAAATGAACACAGGAAGCAACATTTAATGAAAGAAACCAAATACAAAAGGATACATGCAACATGATTCCATTTATGTGAAGTTCAAAAGCTGGAAAATGAAACAATGTGTCACTGCAAGGTGGATACATGCGTTCTACCACTGTAAGTAAGGCAAGGGAATAATTAATACAAATGCAAAAGAGGAGTCACCCTAACAAGGTATATAGGAAGCTCCTGAAATCTATTTCTTCCTATAAGTGGTAGATATTGGTACAGATCTAACCACCTATACATTCTTTTGTGTGTTGAAATATTTCACAATAAAAATAATTGTTCCTCCATAAAGTTAAAATCGATTCTCTACCTTGCCAGAGTCAAGGCCATAGACTGGAGATTCTGCCAGCCTCTTTCCTCCCCTCCTCCCTTCCCGATGACAAGGAATTTTTACTCTGAAAAAAAAGTTGAATGTCCTTTTAGGTCTTCAAAAATGAGCAGCAATTAATTCCTGAAGCTTAATGAAATGGTGTCACATTTGAATTTTTTATACCTTGTTTTGCTTCTTACATCTTTAAAATTGCTTAGTAAGGACCAGCCATTAGTAATTAGCTTGTGTTTATGCATGTTGTTTTTATAACGAGTTATACTGGTTGAAAAGGTGAAGTGTGGATGAGATGTACTTTGACTCACAGCACTCCTCAGGACACCCAACCGCTGGTTTGCTAGGGACACCACTGCTCAATTCTGGGCAGTGCCCAGAATTGCAGATGAGGGTACAAAGAGCTTCAGAAGTGCTGTCCCAGCTGCCCCAAACTCACAAAGGGACAGCAGGTGCCATACTCTCCTCCAGGGTGACTAGAGAGCTCAACCTAGTCCGTGACCCTCCACATCTGTCCTGACACAAGGCCACACTCTGAATGTTTTGCACAGATGTACTGAGCCCTACTCTCTTCTATTTTCCTTCTCTCTTCTCTTTTCCCATCAATGCTGCCACTGTTCTCATTCCCAGAGGCTGCTCTGCCTGTCTTTCCCTCGAAGCACAGCAGCTCTGGGGGCTACAAACCAGGTCATTTCACTTCTCTTTTCGTCTCCTCAATTTAATCCAAACCTCTGTACTTTAGAAGATAATTTTTCTAGGACCTGCTCTATTGGGGTGAGGGTGGTTCATGGGTAAGTAGAACACAGCACAATCTATCAAAGTATTGGCAAATGCTAGAGGTATGCAAATAACTAAAACTGATGTTTTCTACCCCATCCTTCAGTTCTTAGCCACCGATGCTGCACATCTAACTTATACTCTTTCCCAGCCTCCAAATAGCCTCATATCACCATGTGCCACGTATCCCTCACTGGCCCCTCATGGTTCTAACCATCCCAACCCACTCTGACTCTGCCCGTCTTCCTTAGATTGACTCTCCCACCCCTAAATTCACAGATATTCCCCTGTAAACAACTTTCTCTACCCTCTTGAACTTATTCAAGGATTAGGAAGTCAATGGGTAGTCATTGCCTATAGGTGAGAAGGCATTGCAATTCCTGGCTCTGTCACTTACCAGCTGGGAGAGTTTGGGCAAGTTATTTAACCTCCCTGAGCCTTGGTTTCCTCACCCATAAAATGGGGATAATGGTACATACTTCATATGATTGATGTGAGACTTAGAGATCATTTATGATATATAATGATGATCTCATAGTAGGTGACCAATTAAAAAGAAATCTATCTTATCAAACCAGGATCTATGTTTCTCTACTCAGTTCTTTCTAATTCTAATTCTCTACATGGTTTTTCTTAACACAGGGGGAAATGTACTTAAAAGTGATCCAACCTCCACCTTCCAGGTTCAAGCAATTCTGCCTCAGCCTCCCAACTAGCTGGGAATACAGGTGTGTGCCGCCACACCAGGCTATTTTTTCATTTGTAGTAGAGATGGGGTTTCACTTGCTCTGGTCTTGAACTCCTGCACCAAGGCTGGTCTTCAATCCTGACCTCAGGTGATCCACCTGCCTCAACCTCCCAAAGTGCTGGCATTACGAGTGTGAGCCACCGCACCCAGCTGTGATCCAATTTAGCACCACCAATCTGACATTTTGTGCTTCCTCGAGTGACATAGTAAAAGTTATACAGCATCTCTTATGAAGTATTCTGCCCAACAATGTCTAATTTAAACCTAATCCAGCCTCTAGCCCAGTGCTGTCCAATAGAATTTTATGTGAAAATAAACAATAAATAAAAACAAATAATAAAGCACTGTTCTTTATTTGTTCTTTAAGGTAGACACTACTTATGAGTAGCTGCTGAGGACTGAAAACATGGATAATGCAAGTGATAACTAGATTTTTAACTTATTTAATTTTAACTTTAAGTAGCCACATCTGCTTATTGTCAACCTAATTGGACAGCCCAGCTCAAGATTTAATTTCCGGTATATAGAAAACACAAGGGCTAGAGCCACAAATTAAATTACGCAAAATCTGGTTTTAAAATTCTTAGGACAATTAGGAAAATTGAATCTGAGATGAATAGTAAGAGGTGCTTCGGAATTATTGTTAATTTTCCTGCATGTGAAAACAGTACTCTCTTTATTCTTAAGAAATTCGTGCTGATGTATTTAAGGGTTACACGCCATGCCCTCTGCTACTCAAACAATTGGGCAAATGTGAAAGCAAATAGGGCATAATACCAACCATCGAATCTGGGTATCCAGGTGGAACATCAATGCTTGTGTGTTATATTATTTCAAATTTCTCAATGTTGGAAAGCTCCCATCATAAAAAAGATAAAAGACAAATATTTAATAATCTGCTGACTGCTGCCATGGCAGGAGAAGGGAGATGGGTTTCAGCTGCCCACTGAAAAATCTGGAGATGGGGAAATCCAGGTTTGTGTTTTGGGAACACTTTAGCCACAGCTGGGATGGAAACGTGAGATGGTATTTATTAATGCCTCAGCCTTTCCTGAACCCCCGTCCCCACATCACATTTAACACACAGGTCTCCTCCTCCCAGTTTCTCCAGCACCTGGCCCCCCTTTTCCTCCGCTTGCCAAGAGCTACTCCTCCTTCTCCTCCTCACCTCTGCCATCCCCAGTGCCTGCAGATGAAGGAATGCCCTGCTGGCAAGACACTTTGAAGATGAAACATGCTGACTCCCGCTAGAGCCCAAGGCTGACATCCTTTACAAAGAAGACGGTGCAGGCCACTCCACCATTAAAGCACTTTCTGGACAGGCGTTGGACCAGGCTAACAACCCAAGCCCATAAAGTGAAAATTGCCCCAACACCGTCTTCAAGCCAAGCCCCTTCGGAATCTGCGCATAAATAGGGCTGCCGTGCCCTGAGGAGCACATTGGAGTTTCCACCAGGACTCCAGGTCCCCTATCCTCTCCTCTGCAACCCAAAAGGCCAGGAGCAGCATGACCTGCGGATCAGGATTTGGCGGCCGCGCCTTCAGCTGCATCTCGGCCTGCGGGCCCCGGCCCGGCCGCTGCTGCATCACCGCCGCCCCCTACCGCGGCATCTCCTGCTACCGCGGCCTCGCCGGGGGCTTCGGCAGCCACAGCGTGTGCGGGGGCTTCCGTGCCGGCTC